TGAGCAGCCCAGGGCATCTCTTCAATTGCAGCTCGGAAGCATTTCAGAAAGGTGGCCGGAAAGGGGCAAAGAGAGTAATGATTGTCATCACAGATGGAGAGTCACACGACAGCCCAGACCTGGAGAAGGTGATTGAGGACAGCGAGAAGGACAACGTCACCAGATATGCAGTGGCTGTAAGTCTGGGGTTAGAGGGAGACCCTCTGTGGAGCTTTGGTGGTGCCCCGTGGCACCTCCATCGCTCCCGGCGCCTTTCCAGGGCTCCTTGTTGCTGGTCCTGCCTCTGCAGGAGGGGCCAAGGTGCTGAGCTCTGCGTTGGGCTGCTGGAGAAGGTGCTGTGGCCAGGGATAGGCAGGAGCCCAACTGCAGGAGGGGGGCTCAGGAGCCTGGGCTGCCTGGAGGAACGACAGCAGCTCGGTGCCCACCTCGATGGGGTGGCAGATGCCAAAGCTGTTGGGTTGTCCCCACGTGGACACCCCTCGAGTGCTTTGGGACAGCTCTCTCCATCACCTGCATATCCCTGAGTCTTGGATTTCTCTTTCAACCCCAGGTACTGGGTTATTATAACAGAAGAGGAATCAATCCTGAAGCCTTTTTGAACGAGATCAAGTTCATAGCGAGCGACCCAGATGACAAACATTTCTTTAATGTCACAGATGAAGCAGCTCTCAAAGACATTGTGGATGCACTGGGGGAAAGGATATTTAGCTTGGAAGGTGAGTGATGCTCCTCCCCAACACATCCCAGCTGGCCAGGTTGCTTCAGATGTGCCCTTCAGTCCTTGGTTTGCTGGATTTGGAAGGGTCACACCAGATATTTCCTTAATATCTGTAGTGTGGGACCTAAAATCGTGCCTGGAATATCTTCATCTAGCAAGAAATGTCTTTATTTTGAGTGGTTCACATCCCTCAGGTGTCAGCCCAGATGCCTTCTCCTGGAAAGCTGACCCCTCCCTTTGCCACGAGTTTGTTGGTCTCCAAAACAAAATTTATCTAAATTTCCTAGGGAAAGTGCATCCTGAGATGAATGGTTGGAACAGAAGATGGAAGGTGTTCACTGAAAATTAAACTTGGGGGGATTTTGGTCAAACCAGCTCACAAACTCACCACCAGTTTGCCAATGACCTTGGTCCAGCCAGCCCAATGGGCCAGAGGTGGAGGTTGGTCCCACCCCAACCCATCGAGGCATCACTCAGCCCCTCCAGGAAAGCAAAACTCCCACTAAAACCACAAAATCTGTTTTATTTTTTGTTTTATTTTTTAAGGAACCAACAAGAACGAAATCTCCTTTGGCCTGGAAATGTCCCAGACTGGATTTTCATCGCATGTTGTGGAAGTAAGAGAGTAAATATGGGGTTTTTTTGCTCGTGCCCCATGCTTTTTATCATCACCAGCAGCTTCAGGTGGGGACACGAGTATTTTGGGCAAATAATTAACCATGAAGCTAAATTGCTAACAGGAGCATAAGGAAGAAAATGCCGTGGGTGCTGGTTTATCCAGTGGGGAAGGAAGCTGCTGGAGCTTTCTGAAGACCAGCCTGCACCAGCTCATCACTCTTCATCTTGGAACGGGCTGCCCAGGGAGGTGGTGGGGTCATCAACCCTGGAGGGGTTCAAAAAATGAGTAGATGTAGCCCTTGAGGCCATGGTCTGGTGGTTAGGGAGATGTTGGGGTGAAGGTTGGAGTGGATGGTCCTAGAGGTCCTCTCCAACCACAGTGATTCTATGGTTCTATGATGCCACGACCTCTTGGAAAGGACATGCTGGGGTGTGCCATGAGGGAAGGATCTTCTCAGTGGTGGGGTGCAGAGGATGGTCAGGCCCCTTCCACCCATGGGTTCTGCTGGCTGGCAGGTCTGAGCAAAAAGCCAGCAGAGATGTCTGCCGGTGGGGTCATCAACCCTGGAGGGGTTCAAAAAATGAGTAGATGTAGCCCTTGAGGCCATGGTCTGGTGGTTAGGGAGATGTTGGGGTGAAGGTTGGAGTGGATGGTCCTAGAGGTCCTCTCCAACCACAGTGATTCTATGGTTCTATGATGCCACGACCTCTTGGAAAGGACATGCTGGGATGTGCTATGAGGGAAGGATCTTCTCAGTGGTGGGGTGCAGAGGATGGTCAGGCCCCTTCCACCCATGGGTTCTGCTGGCTGGCAGGTCTGAGCAAAAAGCCAGCAGAGATGTCTGCCTGGGGTTCTGCTGGGGAGGAGAAGTGCAATGAGAAGTTCCAAATGGGGTGGAAACCTCACTCCAGCACGTTTCAAATCTCTGCTTTTCCTGGTGTGCTCTGGAGAATGCTTTGCTTGGAGGGGTTTTCTTAATGAAATGATTTTTTCTTTTCCATTTGTGAGCTTTTTCTGTGACACATGGAATTTCTCTGAGGGACCGTTGGCTGGATTTCTCATCTGCACTCTGCAGCCTCCAATAAATATATAGTCTAGGAGCTGGGCTTTTAGGGACCCTTATATGCCTTCTTACACAAACTCAGGTCCCCTTGTCCATCTCAGCTTTTCCCATATGGGCAGTGAGGTGGAGAATTGCCTCCACTTGGCAAGCAACACCCTCAAACTGCTCCTGTTCCCCCCCAGGATGGGATCTTGCTGGGGGCAGTGGGTGCCTACGACTGGAACGGGGCTGTCCTGAAGGAAACCAGCAGTGGGAAGGTCATTCCCCTGAGGGAGTCTTACCTCCAGGAGTTCCCAGAGGAGCTGAAGAACCACGGAGCCTATTTAGGTAAGTGAATGAGGCTCTGCTGCCAGGGCTGGATTCCTGATTTCATGCTTCATAATAGGAAGTACAACATGTTTGTCAAATGACTAATAGCACACTCACAGCAAAGAAGTTTCTCCTCCTGTTCAGATGGAACCTCCTGGGTTCCAGTTGGTGCTCGTTGCCCCTTGTCCTGTCACTGGGTACCACTTACCCGAGTCTGCTTCCCTTTTCCTTCTGGCTCAGATATTTATTCCCAAATCCTTCACAGTCTAAAAGGAAGGTCATTAATTCTACCTCCTTTTTTCCAACAGAGTTTTGAGATGCTGTTGAGCTTCTGCTGGACTCTCGCCAGTAGCTCCTTGTCTCTCTTGAAATGGGAAGCCCAGCACTGGACCCAGTACTCCAGAGGTGGCCTCTCTAGGGCAGGGTAGAGGGGCAGGATAAGTGCAGAAGGAGCTGACACCAGCCAGCCTGGGTCATCTACAGCTCTTACTGGAATGGCTGAGAAAGCCCTGATGAAATCTCATGCCCAGGGAGGAAATAGCTGCTGGGTTAATCCCTTCCATCTGCAGCTGCTGAAGCTCCAGAGTGAAAACATCAGCCTGGTTTGCAAAATGAAGCCCCTCTCCAGAGCTGGGCGTGCCAGGCTGAGCTGCCCCATGGCAGGGAGCAGGGTGGGATGCTCTGGGGTGCCCCTCCTGAGGGCATGAACAGTCCCTGGGCGTACAGATCATCTCTTGGGGTGACAACAGGGTGTCCCCAAGGCTCAGATGCAGGTGTCTGGAGCTGTATGGGTACAAGGGGTGCCAAGGGGTGCCCATGGCAGTATGTGGGAGCTCAGCTGGGCTCTGTCCCACTACTTGGAATGAGGAATCCAGGAATATGAAGAATCATAAAGGTTGGAAAAGATCTCTAAGATCACTGAGCCCAACCATCAACCCAACACTCCCATGACCACTAAACCATGTCCCAAAGTCCAACAAACAACCCATCACTGCCAGGTCCCCACTGCCCCGTGTCCCTCACACCACATCTCCATGGCTTGGAAACCCCTCCAGGGGTGGGGACTCCACCACTGCCCTGGGCAGCCTGGCACAGCCCTGGGCAACCCTCCAGGGCAACAAATTGTTCCTCAGGGACAACCTCAACCTCCCCTGGGGCAACTTGAGGCCATTTCCTCTTATCCTGTCCCTTGTTCCTTGGGAGAAGAGCCCAACCCCCACCTGGTTCCAACCTCCTTTCAGGGAGGTGCAGAGAGCAATGAGCTCTCCCCTCAACCTCCTCTTCTCCAATCCCTTGAGATACTCAAAACTCAACTGGCTGTGACCCTGAGCGAGCTGATCAGCTTCATGGTTGGCCATGCTTTGAGTTTCTATCAGTTTAAGTAGCATTTAAACCAGACTGTGAACGTGCAGGAACCTGGGGCTGGGTTTTAAGAACCAGAATTTTGCAGCCCCAACGTTCTAGTCCTGGAGAAGCCCACGGGCAAGTGCCACAGCCCAGTGTGGTACAGAACACGTGGTGTTGGTGGTCCTGGTGCAGCAAATAACCCCTCTGGGCAGGAAAGTGGGATCACTCCAGGTCATTTGGTGACACCAGGTTATTTCCACATGATGGAACATGAACGATGGATGGGTGGCTTTTGCTGGACTGTGGATGTTCAGGTGGAGCATCAGCAAAGTCCTTCCCGCTCGGTTTCGGGCGCGGTGCCGTTGGGGTCCCGCCATGGAACCTGCACACACCTTGCTGGGGTTTGTCATCTTGGTGTCAGCCAGGAAGCAGAATACTCATCAGGTTGGGCATCGCCCTCACTGTGGAGGACAGAAGGATTTGGGGGTTTGCTGGCTGTGCTGCTCAGGGGGAGGTGGGACCCGAGCGGGAGGCTCAGAGCCCGGGCTCCAGGCGCTGGCGTTCACCCGAGTGGGTTTTACCTTCCAAGAAATGTTTCTTTCTACCTTCCTGAGCTGGGAGGAGGCCAGAGCTGGGTCAACAGCCAGGGGTGGATGGACAGCAGATCGTGGAGCTGCCCAGTTGTGCTCACCCCCA